GCAGAACGCGGAGCTGTTCACGCTCACGTACGGGGCCATCGTCAGGCAGCTGCTCACGGATCTGGAGGAGGTCGAGGAGGTCAACAAGCAGCTTGATCAGATGTATGTGTGTGTGGTTCTCCTCTTCCTCGGTGTCTAATTTTCTTGTTCCATTTAGGGTAGGAATCGAGACGGCGATCGTGTTATGGGAGTAGGAATTCGGAAATATTCACTTCTTGCAACCCACAAATTACAGTGAAGCAGCTACAATGGCCTCAGTAAGGCAAAATTGGTTATATAACATCGAAGTTCACGTTTTTGGTTTTATAGCACCAAAGATGCCGGTTCACTTTAATAGCACCCAAAGTTCACCCTGTTCCCATTTTTAACACTTCCGTCAATTCTCGATCGTTTTCCGTTCGCTTTGATCGCTATTGACCCAGCCACGCACGCGATGTGAGTGACATTTCTACCCCTCACAAGTACAAGTAGAATGCATGGCAATGAGGGGTAGAAACGTCATATCACGTGCGTGGGTGGGCCAATAGCGATCAAGGCGAACGGAAAACGATCGAAAGTTGACGGAAGTGTTAAAAATGGGAACGGGTGAACTTTGGGTGCTATTAAAGTGAACCGGCATCTTTCGGTGCTATAAAACCAAAAACGTGAACTTTCGATGCTATATAACCAATTTTGCTGAGGATTCTATGTAGACTTTGCTGTGGAATTTTGAGCAAACTAACGAACGTTTAGGTAGTCTGAATGATCCAAGTATTCGTAAAGGTGACCTTTAGTAAAGTTCTTCTTGAAGGTGTATTACAACGATTAGGGATTTAGAAGCTCAACCTTATGCCTGGATTATCTGATTTTCCAATTTAGTGCAGACTTTACACCGCAACCAAATGGTGATTGATCATTTTGATATGGCATTTCACGGCGCCTTATATTCACAACACCTTCATGGTGTCATGGTCCAATGGGGGTGGGGGTGGGGGGAATAATATGTACAAACATATCCTATTATATTCCAGTTTTAGAATTTCTTTACTTCATTAAACACTAGTGGGGTTAGAGTGCCACAACAATTAGTATATGTCCATGTATAGGGATGATATTAACTGAATCTTGACTTTGAAGTAGGAAAATATATCAAGTGATTATCTGGCGAATATTGGGATTCTTATTTAGTAGAGCTAATCAGTATCTATGGCTTGCTGGCTGCATTTTTTTTTTCATAATTTACTACTACCTTCTTCCATTGTCTTTTCGCTCTTTCCTAAATAAGTCGCTGCTATATTTATTTTCACTTTGCAGGGGCTACAACATTGGAACTCGGTTGGTTGACGAGTTCTTGGCCAAATCAAATGTATCAAGGTGTGTTGACTTCAAGGAGACTGCCGATGTCATCGCAAAGGTATTTTCGTTAAACTTGTTATTATATGGTTCAGATTGAATAGGAACATTATCGCTCGAGAACATTATTACATGTTTCCAGAGCTTATTGTCCTTATTCAGATATCCCGGACTTGATGGTGCATTAAGATATAGGTATATGATCTAAAAGTTTTATTTCTCCTTTTTAAAACAGCTTGGATTCAAAATGTTCTTGGGTGTGACTGCAACTGTCACCAATTGGGATGCTGAGGGTACAAGCTGCAGCTTTGTATTGGAGGACAATCCTCTTGTAGACTTTGTTGAACTTCCTGATACTTGCCAAGGTCTTCAGTACTGCAATGTGCTAAGTGGAGTTATTAGGGGTGCACTGGAAATGGTTTGTTTTTCAGCTTCCGCTACCTTCTCCTTCCCTCTTCATGTTGAACGATCTATGGATGCATGACAGGAAGTTGTCGTTTTCATCAAAATTCTCATGGTCTTGTTGTACATATTTAAGTTAGTTCATAATGACTAGATGACTGTTAAGGTGCCATCAGCAACCAACCTGCTCTATTATGTGGGGTTATGCCCTACTATTTCTCACCATAATAGCATAACGGAATTTCCTTTATCAGCACATGATATTTTTATACTTTGTTTATCAGTCAAGAGAAATCTTTTACAAGTGCTACTCTGATTGAATTGCAATTGTCATATAGGTGTCCATGAAGACCGAGGTTACATGGGTCCGTGATATGCTTCGTGGGGATGATGCCTACGAGATGCGAGTGAAGCTTACCAAGCAAGTCCCAGAGGAATACCCCTACAAGGATGATGACTGACTTGACAATTTCGTGGATAGTTTCTCAGTTCTCACATGCTGCCTGTTTGTTCGTCTGGATTTCCCTTCTTTTCTTTCCTATGTGACTCTGGTTCTGGATCGACTTGGCTGGACGCTACATGAGATAGCTGTGCATTATATTCTACACTTGACCTTTTCACGGCAGCATCAAGTAGGTATGGAATTAATTCACTTCATTGTCCTTAAGATTTTAACATGCTGATCAAGTATGTTATCCGCACGCTACCATCAGCAACATGGATATGCCATGTGGTCATTTGTGAGGTTTGGCTCCGAGCGGGCACGGAATTAATTCACTTCAATCACCTTAGAGCGAGCTCAGTAACAGAGCCAACTATCGGCTGCAATATATTGACACACTGCAGTAACCATTATAGTCAACTGATACAATAGAGATATCATATACTTATTGGAACACAAATATTTTTTTTATTTTTATGGGCCCACCATCCCTCTATTCTCTTGCTTGCTCCCATCCATCCCTTTCAGCTTTCTTCTTGCCGGTGAGGCGGTGATAACGAGGCAGTGTCCCAGCCAAATGCACGGATGCGGCTGGGGCGAGGCCGGGGCGAGGGAGACGGCGGCAGCTGCAGTGGACACGGTGACGGCAGCCACGGAGGACGAGGGCGACGAACGCGTGAGAGGGACGGCAACCGCGGGAGAAAAAGTGGGATGGGCGCAGGAGACGGCGACGGGGACGGTGGCCGCTGCAGACGTGGACGAGGGTGGTGGGACGGGCGCGTGCAAGGACGAGGGGATGGATGAGGACGGGGACGGCGGGGCGCGATGGATGTGGGTGAGGACGGTGGGATGGACGAGGACAACGGCCGTGGCGCGACGGATGCGGGCGAGGACGACGGCAGCCACTGAGGACGAGGACGGTGACCGTGGAGTGGCAGATGCGGGCGACGACGGCGGAAGGGATGCAGGGCACGGCGTGGTGGATGCGAGCGAGGATGGTGGCCATGACGCAGCGGATGCGGGCGAGGACAGCGGCTGCGGCGCGGCGGTTGCCGCGGGAGGATGAGGACGAGCTGACAGCGACCGCAGCAGCAGGACAAGGATGGCGGCTGCGGCGGAGGCGGTGGGACAATGACTGGGCGACTGCGATGGCCGCGAAGGAAGAGGACGACACGCGTGAGGATGGTAGCATTTATTCCCTTCCATCACAGCGGGCCCCACAACCTTGGGCCGCGCGTGTAGCCGGGTGGCAAATTTAGTCGCCGCGCGTTCTCTGTTTCCTTCTCTCCTCCAGCTTAGCAAAAAAATCCTACGTTGATCTCCTACCGCCCATTACTGTGCCATCTGTAGAAAGAATCAATTGAGCAAGGGTAAGACAAGGAATTTCCCCTCCTACCCTGATCCTAGCCCTGAACACTAACTGGTCATGCCGCTGCCAAGCCTCGCTAGACTAGAGTTACTGTGATTGCGATTTGTTGGAGCTAGAGAGTGGAAGAGCCAAGGAACAAATCACATGGCCGTTTTTGGAGGGCTTAAAATTAAAATTATAAGAAGTAGCTTGTAAGAATCTGGCTTCTAGTTTATTATCTAAATTATATCAGAATCTAGATAAAAATCTAAACTGTTTGACGGAACTTTTAGTAAATATAAATTTTAAAAGAAGCTGCAGCTGTTAGAAACTCCTACAAACAAACCAACAGGCTCACAGTGATGATCCGACAGTTCAAACCGTATGATTTCTCCCCCAATTTCTCTTCACCGGGTGTGTGTTGGGTGGGGGTGGGTACCCATGGGCCACGGTCCGTGCCCGTTTCTTGTTGCATTTGCATGCGCCCTGCACCTTGGAATCCTATGTACTACTACTAGTAGTATGTGTTGTTTGTTTGGTTGGTGGATGCTTCCGTCGACCACCCATGCTTCCCATTTTGCTATGCACGTGATGACTCGCACATCACAGGAGACGACGAGCCATGCATCCTGGACCATTATATTGGCCTTGAAACTAGTTAAGCTCTTGCATTGTGCATATATATGGCCAGGCTCAGCTAGCTAGGAATTGCAGGCTGATCTACCGCAGCGGTGGCATATGTATTTAAGGCTGAGTTCGGCACTCCCTCTTCTCAACCCACCTCTCGTTTTTCCGCGCGCACGCTTTTCAAACTATTAAACGGTACGTTTTTTTTTTCAAAAATTTTCTACACGAAAGTTGCTTTAAAAAAATCAGAATAAAATATACCAACGGTTCTTAAACTTGTCAGGAGGTTTTACTTAGGTCCACGAACTTGCAAAACGCACATTGAGGTCCCTAAACTTGGTTTATTGTATCATCCAGGTCCAAAGCCACTTTTGACCGTGGTCTTGCCTACGTGGCATGCCACGTGGACGATGACATGGATTTTTTATATTTTTTTCTCCCTTCTTCCTTCTTTTTTCTCTTGTATAAAAAGACGATGACATGGACGATGATGTGTACGAGGCATTTTCGTCTTTTCGACAAGGAAGAAAGAGAAAAAAGAAGGAAGAAGGGAGAAAAAAATAAAAAAATTACATGTCATCATCCACGTGGCGTGCCACATAGGCAAGACCATGGTTAAACGCGGCTTTGGATCGGGATGATACAATAAATCAAGTTTAGGGACCTCGATGTGCGCTTTGCAAGTTCATGGACCTAAGTGAAACCTCCTAACAAGTTTAAGGACCGCTGTTGCATTTTACTCAAAAAATCATATTGTTGTCGAAACGACAACTGCCTACGTCGAAAGACGTGGTTACTCAACAGTGGTTGAAAGTAAAGTGTATTGATTAGAGAATTTTTCTTGGATCCCCCTATTACATGGCCCTATGAGACTATTTATAGCCCTTATTACAGGTTCTTACTACTAGGGTTTTTGTTATACAGGGGAATTTACATGGTTACCCTTATGAAAGGGACATTTACATGGGTACATAGTGTAATAGAGGTTCATGGACCCTTGATGGGCCGTTAGGTGATCGTCGGCCCAATGGCCCCTATGCTTGATGGGCCGGAAAAGGCTTCTTCGGCCCTCGCGGGGGCAAGCTTGCTTTGGCAAAGTCGTCTCCCTTCGGCATATACTCTTCGTCCTGCATCCTTCGCCCAAATGGCCTCCGGCTTGGCAGAGTACCCGCATGATCCTTCGCCTCTCGCCGTCCTTGTTCCATAGTCTTCGCCATTGGGGGGGGGGAGGCTTCGCCCCGCCTAACTTTGACGTCTCGGGCTTGGATCCCCACTCCTCGCATAGCCTTCGGCAGATTTTGGCCGAAGGGCCTCATGCCATACCGCCAACAAGCCCCTCACGGGCAAGGGTGAGATTGGAGCTTCGGCCGAGAACGTGCAAACCATGTGGTATGTGGTATGGTATGTGGCGCCCCCTTTTGACCGATGCTCCTGCCGAAACCTACATTGTTCCACATTGTTCCTGCAAATAAAGTTTGTTGTCTGTGCGGCTGGTATTGATTTGCCGCTCTTCGCCTCATGCAGACGGTGATATATATATTTTTTATTTTTACCGGGCCGAAAGGAACAGTAATGGGCCTTCCCTTTGTGGGCTTTTTACTGTGCAGCTCGGTCGATGGGAATTTACCGTTTCGCCTACCCTCGCGACACGTGGCGCTTTATTACTGGTGGGTAGGCGAAACGTCGCCTTGTTGGGCTATATATGCTCCCCCGTTATCTTTTCACCGCCAGACTTGCCACTTTCACCACTCGCGCTCTCTTCCTTCGTTCTTGCTCTCACGGCACCCCTGGGCCCTTTAGATTTCTCGCTCACACCCCTTTTTTCGCCACTGCACACACCCTTCGCCACTTCATACGTCCTTCGTCATGGCTCCCCGCAAGCCTAACCCCTCTTCGGCAAAAGGGCCTGACCCCGGCCGGATTGACGACGACACCACCGTCTATTTAGGGATTTCTCTCATAGACGACGGTGAGCTGGCAAAGTTGGTCAGCTCTGGGGCGTTAGTCAAGGGATAGGCTTTCGCCCCGGGGAAAGCCGTTGTACCGAAGCCCGTCGACAACCGGACAGTGGTGTTCGCAGTGTTTTTTGAGGCGGGGCTCCGGTTTCCATGCAACGCGTTGTTGCCGGAGATTCTTCGCCTTTTCCAGGTGGAGCTCCTGCAGTTGAGCCCATCGGCGCTGGTCCGGATCGCTATCTTCGACTAGGCGTGCCGGACTTCCGGGTTTGAGCCAAGCGCCGAACTCTTCGGCACCATATTCTTTGCCACCGTGAATTCAAAGACGGTGATTACCCCAGCTGGAACGAAGAAGACAGTGTTCGGGAACGTAAACTTTAATGTTCGCCCCGAGCGGTCCGATCTCTGGCTGGTGAACGCCGCCATGTCAAAGTGGGACCGCCATTGGATGGCGAGGTGGTTTTACCACACCATCCCCTTCAAGGCTGGTTCTGACTCCGCAAAAGCCCTTCGGTGTCGGCGCAGGGCGATTGCGCCGAACCGAAAGATCAAGATCGCCGTGAACGACGCTATGGAGGCACGGTTCGCTCTACTGCGTAAGGTCTGCTCCCGCCTTAGCTGCCGCGACTTGGTGGAGGAATTCTGCATGCTTCGCATATTTCCCCTCTCCCAGTCGTGGCAAGTCGCAGTTGAGCAAGGCGAAGAGGTTGATGGTTTGCCGAAGTTGGTTCTCCCTGAAGTGACGAACGGTAAGATGCCCTTTCGCAATGCACTCCTACGCTTTGTTATTTTGCTTTGTTCGACGCTTAATGTGGCTACACCCTTTATTTTTGTAGTGTTGACCCTCGACCAGGCTGACACCGAAGCCCGTAGGATGATCGGCGACGTGTCGGTCGTCGAGTATAGCCAACTACTAACGCGACAAGCGGCTGGCCGGGCGAACCAGGTTTACAACGGCGAATTGCCTCCCCGAGCGAACCCCCACAAGGTCGACGACGATGCAGGACCTTTGCGAAAGCGAACGCGCGGACAAGTAAAGCTTGCGCCCAGGAAGCGAAGGGTTCCTATTTCGTCCGATTCCGACGCCGACGATGAGGACGACGTCGAAGGTCGTGACGACGAGGAGGAAGGGGAGGAAGAGGAGGAGGTTGAGGTCGTGGTCGAAAAGGCCGCGGACGAAGTGGTCGAAAACCGCGTCGACACCCCTGGCTATACTCCTACTCCAAGCCCGGGTCACAATGAGACCGGGTTGGAGTCGAACAACTCCCCCCTTCGTCGAAAGGAGTTGGATGGGGTGAAGGCGCTAATTGCGTTTTCGGCAGGCAAGGCAGCGAAGGGAGGTCCGGTCAAAAAGATTTCCAAGAAGAAAGGACTCGTCGATGTCGCTCGCGTCTTCAACGACGACGAGTCTTCTGACGAGACTCCGACTTCGCCCGCTGGCCACAGCCTGGACCTTTCGACCGCCCCCGTTCTTTCACTTGGCGCTGATGGAGCAGACGGTAGCGCCGCCGCTGGGGCTTCAGCCTCCGCGGAACGGATCGTGACAGCTGCGGCGAGGGTCTTCGGTAGCCCTTTGCGTCAGCCGGTTGTTTCGCCGCTAGTCAAGGCGAAGGGGAAGGGTGCGACCGTTGAAACATCTGCTTCAGAGTATTCCCTTGCGGCGCCCCATTTCGCCCCTGGCAATTTCGAGACCCGGGCATACCTTATTCCCTTTGTGGAGGGAGTAAGCAATCTTGTCTTACCTGCCAGCACCCCGAGCCTATTCACCGAACTGAATGAGTTCGATGAGGGGTGTTCTGCTATTAAAAGCTTGGCGGTTCGGGTATGCTTTTTCTCCATTCTTGGTTTTCCTCTTCTTTTTTACATGTCCCATAATTAACATTTGATCTCTTCGCTGTTCCTCTTTTGCATCCAGATTCTTACAGCTCACTGTTCGACAGAGCGAACCGTGCGGGCTCGTCTTGACGGATTTAAGAACCGTCTTTGGGCCAAGGATGACAAAATAGGCCGCAAGAACTTGGAGATGGAGGCCCTCGCCAACACCCTGAAAGAGGCGAAAGCCGAAAACAAGCGGCTCCAATCCGAGTTGGAGAAAGGAAGAGAGGCTAGGGCCGAGGTCGATCGCCTCAAGGCCAAACTGAAGAAAGGGAGAGAAGCCATAGCTGAGGTTGATCGCCTCCAGGCCGAATTAAGGAAAGAAAAGGCCCATTCCGCCGTGCTGACGGATTATTATAACCTTACTGAGCCAAAGATGGAGGCTCTTCGCCTGGAGGTCAGCAAGGCCGAAGCGAGCGCTGTGGAGGAGTCGCAGCGGTTTTCGCGGGAGATGGTGAAAACTACCGAATCTGCAAGAACGGCGTGCCAAACGCTTCGCCTCGCCCTTACTGACATGGGTGCAAAAGTGCGAGGGGTCCCTACCGAAGATGCCTCGGCCTTCAACTTCTCCGAGTGGACCCAGCAGGCTGGTGGTTCGGTTTCGGACTGCGCCACTGCGTACGGCGATTGCTGTGCGCGTGTATCAGTGGCCTTTACTATGGGTCTCCTGCAATAGTTCGGCTGCGAGCACGTCGCCGAGTTCCCTAACTATGCGAAGGGGGACTGGGAGATTAGTGCGCAGGACATTTTGCCTGCACTTCGTGCGTGGCGGAAACAGTTCTGGCAGAAGGACGGCCAGTCCACCGCCAAGGCGCGCCTTTTGGAGCAACTAGCGAAGGCAGAGGCGGCAGACCTTTGCGAAGAAGAGGACGCGGCGGCTGAAGGGGTTGGAGGCGATGCCCAGGATCACCCAGAGGTGTAAGGCCCTCCGCCCTTTCCTTAGATTTTTGTATTTTTCCTTCTTCTTTTTGTGTTCGCTAGGAGTGGCGAACGATGTGTATTTGGTGGGCTGCCGCTAACCTCCTTATTGTAGCCGAAAAAGGGGCCCTTGGATATTTTGAATATATATGACTCACTCTTAGCCACTTTTTGATGGTCGAAGTCTTTGGCGTATTTATGATTACGCCCATTTCACATTATGCAATACTTTTTTCTTTTTTCGCCTATTCTTACTATGCAATTCGCCTTTTGCCCTTTTTGCACTGTCTACCAGGGTGTTCGCCGAAAGTTGTGCATTCGGCCCCCTTCTGGGAGTTGGCGATATCAAAACGAGAAATTTGTGGCATTAAAGGATTTGCCAAAGGTGCGATGCCCATTTCGGCCTGTTTATCGTGAAATGGTGATAAACGGACGCATCTATAAGGTTTTTAAGGTTGCCGGGTGGCTTTGGGCGCACCCTGGGCGAACCTTAGAAGACTACGATATTGTTCATTCAAGACGTTTGGAGGACATGGCTCGCTTTGGGCGAAACCATCAGAAGACAGTTCGGCAGGAGGCGATCTCCCAGCGTCGTTACAGTCTAGTCTGTATTTCGCCCCCTTCTCCTCTTAGGGTTGTGTATGATATTAGTAGTGATGATGAACCTAGTTCGCCCGATCACTCCTTAGAAAGAGAGAGATCGCGGGGGCGAAGATGTAATTTATCTGTAAGCCGGGCTGTAACGCCATTGCTCCTTTTTCTTCATTTGTACCATTGTGATGTATTCCTCGATACATTTTTATTTAAAATCAATAAAGGTGCGTTTTATTTCCTTTTCGCTATTTTTGCATTGTCACTTCGCGTGCTTTTCGTTGGATCGGAACGTGTCGGCCCCTTTGCATATATTAGCGAAATAGGTTTTGACTTTTCAGCTTTCGGTTTCCGCTTTCGATCCGTTTTGTTCTACGTTATAGGAAGCACTCGTGCTTTCCTTTCGATCGAGTGTAACGGTGTTCGGCTAATTGTTCTCTGAAACAAGCTGTTGCGGTTTCAATCGTTCGGCGAGCGATGCTTCGGCCGATTCGTTTCGCCCCCTGGCCTTTTTCGCTGATCAGGCGTTTGCCTTGGGGTTTTTCCGCAAATTATCAATTGCACAAACAAATAAAAAGAAGGCAGAGGACACAAAGATTTTATACTGGTTCAGGCTTCCGTGGTGGATAATAGCCCTACATCCATTTTTTTTGTCTTTTTTCATCTTCCTCTTTTTTTTCCTTCTTCTTTTTTTTCTCTTTTTTTTTCTTTTTTTTCTTGCCGAAAGGCTTACATAGTGCCGAAGGGCTTACATAACGATATATACATTTTTACAAGTTGGCGATTTGGGTGCCACCCGTTCTAGACATAGAAACGCTTGAGAGAGGCAGCGTTCCAGGAATGGTCGAACTCTTCGCCTTCCAGTGTCGCTAGTTGAAAGGATCCCATCCTGGATTTGTGCTTGATGAGGTACGGTCCTTCCCACTTCGATTCAAGCTTGCCAATGGCTATCGGGTTCGCCTTTTTCCTTAGGACAAGATGACCAGGCAACGGCTCTGTCGGTCGAACTTTTTTGTTGTAAGTTGCCGAAGTGCTTGTGGCATACTTTTGCATGTGCTCGAGTGCTTCGACTCTTACCCCCTCCAAGAGTTTGAGCGACAACTCGCGCCCCTCTTCGCCCCCAGAGAACGTCACCCTTGGTGAGTTAGCCCCTAGCACTGTTGGGGTCATTGCCTCATCGTCATAGAGAAGCATGAACGGGCTGAACTTGGTTGGTCTTGTGGGGGTCGTCCGAAGGGCCCAGAGAACAGATAGCATTTCCTCTGGCTATTTGCCCTTCGCTGCCCCCTCAAACCTTTTCTTTAGTGCTTCTAGGATTTTACCATTTGTACGTTCGGCCGCTCCATTTGACTGCAGGTGCGCGACCGATGCGAACCTGATTTCCAGGTTAAGCCCTTCGCACATTTCTCTGAACTTGTCTGAGTCGAACTGCTTGCCGTTGTTAGTGATGAACTCTTTTGGCACTCCGAAACGTCAAACAATGTTTTTCCATACAAACTTCTGTACTGCTGTAGAAGTGATCGCACCAAGGGGTTCGGCCTCAATCCATTGAGAGAATTATTCAACGGCCACAATTGCGAACTTGTGCCCGTTTCGTGCCGCCGGGAATGGCCCAATAATGTCCAGTCCCCATCTGGCGAAGGGCCAGATTGGTGCGATGGGTTGCAACTCATACTGGGGCGCGATTTGGCTTCGGCCATGACGCTGGCAACTTTCGCACTTCTTGATTTGCTCAACACATACTTTCAACACAGTGGGCCAGTAAACTCCTTGTCTAAATACTTTGGAGGCAACTGTTCTTGCGGCTTGGTGCGCGCCACATAGCCCCTGGTGTATTTCCTTCGCCATTTCCTCGCCTTCGGCGAAAGAAATACAACGAAGCAAGGGTTGAAGTATCCCGGAGCGATAGAGCTGGCCCGAGACCATCTTATACTTTGTGGCTCTGAATTGCAAGCGCTTTGCCTCTGCTTCGTCTACCGGAAGCCAACCAGTTTCAAGGTGCTTCACAAACGGGGGTTCGCCAGTCGTATGGGTCTTCGCCCAATTTGACCTGGTCGATTGGCAGGACCTCCAGTCTGTCCATGGGCACGCTTGGTGCATACAGGACCTCAAAAAAGATGCCAGGCGAATGTGGGCCACCACAAGCGGCAGATTTCACCAGGGCGTCTGCTTCCTCGTTCTGGCCTCTAGGTAAATGTTTGACCGTTATGCCGGTGAAGCACTTTTCCATAGACCGAACGGCATCCAAATACCTTTTCATCCCTTCTTCTTTTGCCTCAAAAGACTTGTCGACATGGCCCGCCACCAGCTTGGAGTCGGTTCGGATTAGCAGGCGCCGAATCCCCAATGCTTTTGCCTTTCTTAGGCCCAAAAGAATGGCTTCGTATTCTGCCGCATTGTTGGTTGTGTCGAACTATAGCCTTGCAGCATACCGAATTGGCATACCATTTGGCGAAGTGAGTACTACCGCAACGCCCGCCCCCTTGTGCGACCATGAACCGTTGGAGTACATCACCCAGGGCTGTTCGACGGGCTCGGGTTCATGGGCGAATGCCGGTGTCCATTCGGCCACAAAGTCGGCTAGCACTTGGGACTTGACAGCAGTGTGGGCAACAAAATGTAAGTCGAAAGGGGATAGCTCTACTGCCTACTTGCTAAGCCGGCCAGTAACTTCTTTACCCCGGAGTATTTCACTATGACTTTGTGGGCCTGAAAGTAATGCTTAAGCTTGCGTGAAGTCATCACCAGGGCGTAAGCGAGCTTTTCTATTTCAATGTATCTTGTCTTCGCTCCTTGCAATGCTTCAGAGACGAAATAGACCGGTTTTTGGCCTGAATCCGTTTCTTGGACGAGAGCAGCACTGACTGCCACTGGGAAGCCGCCAGGTATAGTAGCAGTTCGCTTCCTGATGCTGGGCTGATCAGAGCTGGCGGGCTTTGCAGGTATTGCTTTAGCTCATTGAACGCTGCTTGGCATTCGGGAGTCCAGTTGAATTTTCCCGCGCCCCGGAGGGTTTTGAAAAAGGGCAAACCTCTTTCGGCTGCCTTTGAGAGGAATCGACTGAGTGCCGCAATTTGGCCCGTGAGCTTTTGTACTTCACGTACGCTTGATGGAGGCTTCATTTGCTGAGTGGCATCGATTTTCTCGGGATTCGCCTCGATGCCTCTTTCAGAAACAAGGAAACCCAACAGCTTTCCTGCGCGAACGCCGAAAACACACTTCTCAGGATTCAGTTTCATACCCGCTGCGCGCAAGTTGTCGAAGGTCTCCTGTAGGTCGGACGCATGGTCGAAAGCCTTACGGCTTTTTACGACTATGTCGTCGACATAAGCTTCCACGTTTCGCCCCAACTGCTTGTAAAGGACCTTGTACACCAGCCTGGCGAATGTTGCTCCGGCATTCCTCAAACCGAAAGGCATCCTGAGGTGACAAAAGGTGCCGAACGGTGTGATTAAGGCTGTCTTGGGGATGCTAGCCGGGTTCATGCGAATCTGATGATAGCCGGAATATGCATCTAGGAAGCTCATGAGTTCACAGCCGGCTGTCGAATCCACGAGCTGGTCGATCCGTGGCAAGGGGAAATCATCCTTCGGACATGCTTTGTTTAAGTTTGTGAAATCGACACACATGCGCCATTTGCCATTTGACTTCCGCACCAACACTGGATTCGCCAGCCACTCAGGATGATCGATCACTTGAATGACCCCTGCCTTGAGCAATTTTAGGATTTCGGCTTATGCTGCCTCCTGGCGATCAGCGGACATCTTGCGTAGCTTCTGTTTCCTTGGCTTGGCATCCGGCTTGACTGCCAGGTGATGCATGATGAGATCTGCCGAAACACCTCCCACTTCATCAGGGCCCCAGGCGAAGATATCAATGTTCTTTTTGAGTACCTCTAGGATGTTCTTAACTTCTTCTTCGCCCATGTCGCCCCCCCCAGTGATACGAGCTTTGTGGGGTCGGCATCATCAATTTGCATCTTGACTATCTTGCCGTGAGTGGCGAGCTTTGGCGTGTGCTTCGCCCGGTCATGCGGTTCGGCCTCAACATTGTGCACTGCTCTATTGATTATGGCCAAATCGCCTTTTAAAGCAGCCGAAGCTGAAGCCCCTTGACCACGATCACTCCTGCCGGGCCATACATCTTGAGCTTGAGATAATTGTGATGGGAAATGGCTTCGAACTTGTTCAAGGTTGCACGGCCGAAGATGGCATTGTAGTTGTATGGGATGTCGACAATGTCAAACAATACTTGCTCTTCACGTCTGTTTTCCCCCGTGCCGAAGGCTACTATCAACTGTGCTTGGCCAAGAACTTGAACTGCTTCTCCGCTGAATCCACGGAGCGATGTCGGTGCTGGGGTAAGGGCTTGGGTAGTCAACCCCATCTTGGCATATGCTTCGGCAAAGATGACCTCGAAACCAGCTATCTCAATTGAGATCACCAGAGGATCTTGATGCGGGAACATTACTCCTTCGACATCTTCTGGCCCAAAAAAGATTTGCTGGTTCAGATACTGCGGAGTCCCTTCGCCTGCCAAAGTGATATTGTGGACCGTTCGCAGCTGCATCTTCTTCTGTCGCTTCGACAGTTGGATCGGCGGGTCGACCCTTGTAATTACTTGGATTACTCTGCGTTGCGCATCTTGGCGCTGTTCGGTCGGGGGTGCTTGTTCTTGAGCTATTTCACGAGTTGCTTCGGCCACTGCTCCCTGCTGCGTCCTTGGATCTTGCGCGTTGCCACGTTGCCGAATGTTTCGGCATTGCTCCGTGGTGTGCGAAGAGCGTCCGTGGAAGGTGCAGTAGAGGTCTTTTCGGACCTTCTTGCGGACAGGCTGCTGATGGTTGCTTGCTTGCTGAGCGTCGAACTCCTTCCGGAGGGCTTGCACTTCTTCGACAGCCATCACAGCCTTGCCCGCACGGTCGGTTCTGAACTTCCTCCAGGTCATGGGGGCTTGACCTTGCCTTGGCGGTTGTGCTTGGATCGCCGGCTGGGGCTGGCGAACAACGAGAGGAGGTGGTTTGACAACTTGAACTTGTTGTTGGGCTTGAGCAGCGGCTACGAAAGCCTTATCGTACTCAGCTTGTATTGCTTGTCGTCGCTTGGAATCCTCTTCGCCCCTTGCGAACCCATCAATGATGCGAAGTAGGTGTTCAAGCATCTGCGGCTCCTTGTTGGCGATTTTTCTTGTGAGTTCGCCCTCGAGTAAACTAGCCGAAGCGGCGTTTATGACTGATGCCTC